TCATTGCCTAGATGAGAGAGAAAACATTGCAGAGGAACTTAGAATCATTTGAGAGACATATAGCCCAGGGCAGCCATATATGTACCAATTCCTTCTAGATGCAAGGAGTTCAATGAAAAAGTCAGAATGGGAAGACTCTCAAGGGTAACTTAAATAGCCTTCATTTGCATAGGAAATCCTTGGGGTTTATAAAAGCTGGAGAGTTGGTCAAGGTCTTTTGGAGGCTATCCTCTTGTCTTTCGGGTAAAAATAGACTGTGCTCTGGTTCAGTTCTTCAAACCAAAAAGGGAGAAGTCTGATGGAGACTTCAGGGAAGGTTCATACCTAGTGGCTGCACGCAGGAGTTGATCCTGAAGCAGACATGACCCTGGCTCCTCTCTTATCTTTTTGTGAATGGCCTTGAACCATACATAGAGGAGCCATATTATGCAAGCAAAAAGTAGAATGGGAAATAACCCCAAGCCCAGACCCCCAAAACCTTGCTGAATATTTGGAAAGAGTTCTAGAACTAAGCAACCAAACAACAACAAAGATACCAATGAAGGTGTTTAGTTTCTCGTTCGACTCTTTTTTTTTAAATTTTTTAAATGTTTTTAAAGAGAGAGAGAGAGAGAGAGATGGAGTTATTTTTGAGAGAGAGAGAGAGATGGAGTACGAGCAGGGGAGGAACAGAGAGAGAAGGAGACACAAAATCTGCGAAGCAGAGCCCAACATGGGCTGAGCCCAACATGGGGCTTGAACTCGTGAACCATGAGATGATGACCTGAGCCAAAGTTGGAAGCTTAACTGACCGAGCCACCCAGGCGCCCTTCTCATTCTACTCTTAAACCCACTAGGAAACATTTCTTTAAAAATTAAAGGACAACCTTACTAATGTTTTATTGATATAGCATAATAATACCAATCTTAAACCCAACCACTATTATACAACCTCTTCCTTGGAGTCAGCAAACTACTCTGGCCACACATCTAATCTCACCATGCTTTCCCCAGGCCCCAGCCCATAACCATCAGCCTCAAACCTTTAACCAAGGAATGTTCTTTTAACTTTTGGGACACCACACTCATTAACTTAATAGCAAGGGATTTACTGTGCGACTGTCACTGCTACATTAAATGCTCTCCTGATGGTCTCTTCCTTCTGGTCCCCAAGGACCTCCCTATTCATCAACGTTTATTTATTTTTGGGACAGAGAGAGACAGAGCATGAACGGGGGAGGGGCAGAGAGAGAGGGAGACACAGAATCAGAAACAGGCTCCAGGCTCCGAGCCATCAGCCCAGAGCCTGACGCGGGGCTCGAACTCACGGACCGCGAGATCGTGACCTGGCTGAAGTCGGACGCTTAACCGACTGCGCCACCCAGGCGCCCCAGGACCTCCCTATTCATAACAAGATCCTGGCTCATTTGGATATGATTTACCAGTACCTTTGTGTGTAAATCAAGCAGAGACTGAAGCTCTCTTAACAGCAAAAATCCTACTGATATTCTACTGGAGCAAAACCCATCAAGGTTCAATCTCTACCCAAACTTGCATAACAGTATCTAATATAAGGTGATAAAGAAGGAGTAGAACTAATAATCAGAAGCCTTTCTAAAAAAAAGAAAAGACTTAAAGAGAAAGGAGTCTCATACCTTGTCCCAGCCCTTGTAACATGCTCCTATCCTCTCAGTTGAAAAACCCAGTGGGCAGGAATATAGATTTGTTTAGGATCCCAGGGCCACATATAAATTAGTCACTCGCTGCTTCCCTTTAAGATCAAACTCAAATACACTACTATTCTTTTTTTTTTTTGGTTTCCATACAACACCCAGTGCTCATCCCAA